ATTTTATTTTCGATATTTTTACTTAACGATATTTTTAGAAAATTGAAAAAGGAAAAGAAAATTTTTATTTTTTTTTTTTGTGTTTTTTGTTATTTTTTATTATACAATAATAATTTAAACGCCGCCAAACTACACGGAAAAAAAAATTTTTTTTTTTCAAAATTTCAGTTTTTTCAAGCTTAACAAGTAATTTTCTATTTAATAATAATAATAATGAAATTTAAATTAAAACAAAAAATATAAAGAAATATTGCATAAAAATATGCTTTGAATAAATTTATTGCATAACATTAGGCGCTAACAAATATATTTTTAATGAAATTTCATTAAGACAATTTAATAAAATCTTTTTAGTCATTTTGACATATGGCTGGTTGACGTGGCAGGGGCTGCAGGTCCGCTACTCTTCGAATTTTTAGCTTATATTCCAATAATTTCAAATTAAAATTTCATTTCCTTAATTAAACTCAAAACAATTCAAAAATTGAAATTTTAAAAATATTTCGAATTGTTTTTACAATCTTTCACTTAAAAAAAAAAAATTAAAAGGAAAATTTTTTTAAAATTTCAAAAAAAAAAAAACAAAAACAAAAATTTATTTTTTTTGCCATATCTTGAATAATTTTTTTTTCTATCATTTTCTGTTCTTGTTATTCTCATTTTTTTTTCATTTTTTTGCGTTTTTAATAAATTCTTTATAGTCTGCCACAAAACTTAATTTTTTTTTTCTTGTGATTTTTGCTGTTACGTTAAATAGATATTACATACATGCATATGAACAAATATAAAATGTTAGTATATATTTGATAGCAGACTGTTATGTAGATTTGTGAGATTGTTTAATGAATAAATATATATATATACATATATGTTTGTGTACAACATACGCCGTGTATAAATTAAAAAAAAAAATTTTTATTTTTTTATTTTTTATTCTTATTGTTTTTTTTTCATTTTCAAGGCTAAATAATAACTCGATACAAGGTCGTTTTGTTGTTAGGTTCATATTGAAGCAGAACAAAAAAAACAATAATCATAACATAAAAACAGAACAAGCAAAAAAAAAAAAACAAAATAAAATAAAAAGGCAGAAGAGCCAAAGATTTGAGAATAATAAAAAAAAAACACTACATATTGGTTTTATTTTTTCTTCTCCTCCATACACTTTCATTGTATTGAACATTTTAAGAAGAAGAAGAAGAAAAAAAATCACTACTAAATTATTTTTTCTCTGTGCTCTAAGTTAGTACACTGAGAGAAATTATTCAATGATATAATTAAAATATTCTCTTTCCTATATTCTATGGGATAATATAAATTTTTAATTGTACATTATTTAAAAAAAAATTTATACATATATGCATACATAAAAATTTATGTCATAAATCAAACGCTATTTTGTAACATACTCATTTTTATATTTTATAATGAAGGTATTAAAATTTTGGCAGTGCTCTAATAACATTTTAATATTGCAATAAATAAGAACAAAAAAATAACAGAAAAATTTAACATACAAGTTAAAATTAGAATATTACAAATTTTTCATTAGAAAAAAATTTTCATATTATAACATTATCCTCTGTACGTATTTGTATAACAATTCCCTATAAGTACGTACATGCATATAATTGGCGCCATATATCTAACATTTACAAAAATATGATAATAAACGACAATTATTTTGAAGATGATTCATAATAATTTAGAAAAGAAAATTTTTGTTGTTTATTTCTATTTTTAAAATTATTTCGTTTCCCTATTATTATACTCGTATATTAGAATTAGATTATTTTATTTTATTTTTTTCTCAAGGATATTCATTCATATAGCAACATTTTTTCTTTAACAGTAGTACTAAAAGAAAATTGCATATTGCTGTTGTTAATGAAATTAGAGAAGGGAAATTTCTTATATACCTTAATTTTAATTTATAAAATACGAAGAGAATTTTTTGCCGCTTAAATTAATTTTATTACATATTAATATTTTAATTAAATTTTTAGTGTACAGTTGATATTTTTATTTGTTAACTTCTCTTATATAATTTTATTATTACTGATTGTTTTATTTCAAAATATTTTTTTTTTATTAAATACACGTGTTTACTTCAGTATTTATGCCTATGTACTTATATCTGTAAATAGAATTTTTTATTTACTTCGATATTAATATAACAATATATGGGATTCACAATTTTTATTGTAGATTTTCCTTTTCTTATGCCTCATAATATTATTTTTTTTCTTTTTGGAATAAATATAACGTATTCACTCAGTATATACATAAATATTTGTGATATTTATATATATAAAAAAAAATTCGCTAACAGTTTTCTTCTTTTTTTTATGATTTTGGATGTTCCAAATTCCAAGGATAAATAAATTAAGTTAAATAAAAAGCATAAGAATAAAAGAAATAATAAAATAATTATAACAAGTATATAGAGAGGAGAACAAATAAATGAGTGCTTTTATAATTCTTATAACATTATTAAGAATAAGAAAGAAAAATAATTTTTTTTTTTTGTAATGCAAACTGTTATACTTTGAGTTATTATCCGAATTCTGTGATTTTTGACAATTTCGTCAACGAATAGAAATTATTTGCATGTTTATGAGTGAAAACACAATTTCTTGAGCTATTACTGTAGATTAAAATTAATATAACAGATTTTTATTTATAACAGTTTTTATTTATTTAATTCTTAAATATATGTATATTTCAATTTTTATTAAATTTAATTAAGATATAAAATATGAAATGAAAACTTTGTACTATAAATCAGCAAAATCATTTTCAAATTATGTATGTATATATAAATATAATTCTTTGAAATATAATTCTTTATAGACATACCTAATATAAATACATATCTGCGACTATAAAATTATAATTATAAAAACTAATTTGCAAAAAAATAGAAAATTAAAAAAAAAACTAAGCAAATATGTGATTATAAACTTAAATACATATTATTCTTTCTTGTAAATGTATTTGTATATATTAAAAGAACAAAACCTTGAACTCTAGTTCGTCGACCTTGACGATAATGTCATATTAAATATTATATATTAAGTACATTAACTAATACTATTACACTATAAAATATTTAAGTTTTATTTTTACATACCCACCTAATAGGTACATAATAATAATTTTATTTAAATGAGAAAAGTATATAATATATTATAGAGATAAAAAAGAAAGAAAACAGCAAAAGCATAAATAGTGAAAAAATGTCTTCCTATATACTTTACATTTGCCGTGTTCTTTCTGTTATATTTTTCGCTTTGAAATCTTATATTCTTACTTCGTATATGATTCTCATATTCTCATTCTATTGTTATGTAAATTATTTCGTGACTATATAGTCAAGTCGATTTTAAACTTAGTAAATAGTTTATTTTAATCTCCACTATTTCTTTAACTACTTATATACAATACTTATTTATTTTCATAGTTTTTCGTTTCAAATTCTTTTTTAAATTCCCCAATAATTATTTTTATTTTCTTATTATTCTTTAAAATCTCATTTATATACTTTTATACTATTAAAGAAATTCTTTATAAGCTTTTATATACTTATATTATTTTATTACATAAATCTTAATTCTATATACAAACTCATTCTCTTTCTCAAAAATAAAAGTTTCATACACGCTATTTCTCCTTCTCTATCTTCACTCTTTTACAAACTTACAATCATGTGTATGAAACAATAATTGTGATGATAATTTTGAAAACAAAAAAAAATTTTATACGACAACAGCGCCATCATATAATTTTCATCAAAAGTATAGTTGGAAAAATGTTAAGAGACGAAAAGCTTTTAATATTTTAAGCAGAGAGTATGAGATAAAATTGTTAAATTATTTAGTAAAACTATACTTAAAGTGAAAATAGTGATAAAGTATTTTTCTCTTTCCCTCTCTTAAATTACTAATAGTTGATTTTTATATTTAGATTTCAATTACAATAATTTAATTCTGCGTTTACAAAATTATTATGTAATTTTATTAAAATTTAAAAGAGTTTGAAAATGTTGATAAAATATTTGTTATACATTTGATATACATATATATTTGTACATAAAATATTTAGGAATAAGATTAATAAAAAATTATGTGTATTAAAAACCAACCTATAAACAAACATTTAATCATTAATTCCCAAGTATATTGCCTGCGTATATAACATTATGTACATACCATGTACATGTATAAAATTAACCAAAATTTCAAGGATTTTCTGTCCTAAATCTACTTAAAAAATATTAAATGGTTTTATGGTTTTTTCTTTTTTTTTATCCTCATTTTAATATTTTTTTGCTTGTTTTTTTATTCTTTTTTTTTTATCACAATAATTTTTTTTTCGTGATATTGCTTTTCTTTTCGCAAAACATTAAAAAAATATTTCAAGGACATGAAGCAATATACATATAAATATTGTATATGAGTTATCTTCGAGTATTTTATTGTCAATGTTTGTTCATATGGCAATATTTTATTATATAGAATATTATGATACGTATATACATACACAATAATACAGAATATAATATTACAAAAATATATTTGCATATTTGCTTAAATAACACAGTATATATGGATCCTTGGAGTAAAAAGTTCAAGTTTAACAGATTATATAAGCAAAATTTATACATAATACATTTTATGTTTTATATTTTTATATATAATCTATATTTTAATATACAGATGAGGTTAGGTAATTATAAAGGATGTTCCAAATAACATTTAGTTTTCATTGAAATAAATTTATAAGGTTATACTTTGTTATGTCTACATTATTGAAGGTTGTTTAGGTTTTGTTTTCTGTTTGAAATGTTCACTTGTTCTTGTGTCCCATTTTAATAATATTGCTGAAGGTAAAAAATTCCAAAATGATTACAATTTTTTTAAATGAACAACTAAAATTAATAATAATAATTGAAAATATAAACTTTGAATACTAATTAAATATTTTTTATCTAATTACAGGCATGTCCATTAAATCCAGCACCAGAATTACAATCTGAACAAGAATTTTCAGAACGTTTTGCACATGTTATACGTGGTGTTATTGATTTTGCTGGTATGATACCAGGATTTCAATTATTAAATCAAGATGATAAATTCACTTTATTAAAAGCTGGTCTTTTTGATGCATTATTTGTACGTTTGATATGTATGTTTGATTCATCAATAAATAGTATAATTTGTTTGAATGGACAAGTAATGCGTCGTGATGCTATACAAAATGGTGCAAATGCTCGTTTCTTAGTTGATTCAACATTTAATTTTGCAGAACGTATGAATTCTATGAATTTAAGTGATGCTGAAATTGGTTTATTTTGTGCAATTGTATTAATAACACCAGATCGCCCTGGTTTACGTAACATTGAATTAATTGATAAAATGTATAGCAGACTAAAGGGTTGCTTACAAACAATAATCAATCAAAATCGTCCAGATCAACCAGATTTTATGTCTGAATTATTAAAAACATTACCAGATTTAAGAACTTTAAGTACATTGCATACAGAAAAATTAGTTGTATTCAGAACAGAACATAAAGAATTATTAAGACAACAAATGTGGCAAATGGAAGATGATCAACCATCAAAAAGTCCAGGATCATCCGGAAGTAATTGGGATGATAGAGATCGTATGATTGATGATATGGCTAAATCACCAATGGGTTCAGTATCAAGTACTGAATCAGGTGATATTGGAGAATATTCGCCTCAACATCATCATCACCATCATCACTATCATGGACATAATCATCATCATCATGGACATCAATCATCTTTAGCAAGTTCTGCTCCACTATTGGCAGCTACCTTATCTGGTACATGCCCATTGAGACATCGTGCAAATTCTGGTTCATCGGCTGAAGATATCGATGTTGTTGTTGGCTCACATGCTCATTTAACCCAAAATGGTTTAACAATAACCCCAGTTGCAAGATCACATTCTACAACCTCTTCAACACATTTATTGCATCATCATTTAAGTAACGGTGGTCGTTACAGAAAGTTAGATTCACCAACCGATTCTGGCATAGAAAGTGGTAATGAAAAGGCTGAATCCACCAAAACTGTAAGCAGTGGTGGTGGATCATCATGCTCAAGCCCAAGATCATCTGTTGATGATGCTTTGGACGCTGAAGCTGTAGCCCATGTTACAAATGGCCATTCAACAACAGCAGCAGCAGCAACAACAAATTCAACACCGCAAAGTAATAATAATAGTAATGCCAGCAATGGTGCAACGAAACGACAGATCGTTGAAGATATGCCAGTTTTAAAACGTGTATTACAAGCACCACCATTATATGATACAAATTCTCTAATGGACGAAGCATACAAACCACATAAAAAGTTCCGTGCTCTACGCCATCGGGACTACGATAGCTCAGAAAATGATCCACACACAACAAGTACAACTGGCAATTCTTGCAATTCAAGTGGCGCAGCAACTTCAACAACTACACCACCAATAGTTCAAATTACACCAGCTGGTCATTCAACATCACCAAGTCCAAGCACCAACCAACAATCAACAACAACATCATCTGCTTCGCCAACAACCGTACCCCAAAATATACCGTCACCATCACCAGTGAATCAGCAACAAAGTCAATTGCATATGCATCTGACACGAAATTTAAATACTACCACCAATAATTCTACATCAAATAGCAATAATTTGAATAGCAGTAACAGTAATAGTAATAATAACTATAACCATCACAATAACAGTAATTTATCAACAACAACACAATCAACATCGGCAGCTCCAGCCCTATCACCGCAAATACCAACAAATCAGCAACAACATTCGTCCTTATCAAGTACACATTCAGTACTAGCAAAAAGTTTAATGGCTGAACCTCGTATGACACCTGAACAAATTAAACGTTCAGATATTATACAAAATTATATTATGCGCGGTAGTAGCAGCAGCCCAAATCCAAATGGTTTAATTGTTGCTCAAACAAATAATAATAGTAATCCACCATCTCAATCATCACATAATCATCATCATCATCATTATCAACCATCAGCATCACCATTATTAATTGGTAATGCACCAACATCACCATCAACAACAACTGTAACACTATCATCTCCACCACCACCATCTCATCAGCATCAACAACAATCTTCAGGACAACAGCAACATACAATGCGGTGGCAGGGTCAAAGTGTTATTACAACAACAACCCTACGTCAACAATCTGTTTCACCGCATAGTAATAGTAGCAGTTGTAGTAATGGTAGTACAACAAATAGTAGTTACTTTCAATCACCGCATTCAACATCAGTTAGCCCGCCGCGACCATCACCATCAGCAACACATTCACCACGTTTAATTGAATTACAAGTTGATATTGCTGATTCCCAGCAACCATTGAATTTATCAAAAAAATCACCAACACCACCACCACCATTATCAGTAACAACAGTATCATCAATACAACAACAGCAACAACATGTGCAAAAAATACCAGCTGCATTAGTAGCGCACAAATATCCATCAGTATCACCTGATGTAACAGTTACAGCGGCAACACCAAATTGCCCACAAGTAACAGTATCACCGGCACCATCCCCAGCTACAACAACAACAATACACAAAGTTTTATTAGAAGCGTAACAATTTAAGTTTTGCAAAAAATAAACATTTTTTTCATTACATATTTGGTTAGTTTTTAAAAGTAAAAAAAAAAAAAAAACAAATAGAAATGAAAGTGAGTAAATTGGAATTTTATAATAATTAAAAATAATTATGTATGTAACTATTAAGAAGAATTGTAAAAACAAAAAACAATGTAGCAGTATAGGAAAAAAAAATTTACTTTTAAATATAAGAATTTTTCAATAAAACAAGTAAAAAAATTACAAAAAAAAAAAAAAATTTGAAAAAATCAAAGAGAAAGAAGAGTGTGTTATGTAGATCATAAATTCTCTCTTTTATTATGTACATATGAAGAATTAACTAAACAACAAAAGGTAAATGATGCTATAGTTTGTATTTTATTATAAATTTAAATATTTTTTTTTTTCTTTTTTTGTGGAAAAAAAAACACACAAACAATTAATATTATAAAATATTTAAAAAAATTAATAAATTAATAAACATGGCTTAAGTTTTTTTTTTTTCTTTATAAATCATTTAGAATTAGCTTTGTTGTTCTACAATAATTTTTTTTTTTTTAATAATACTTTTAATTTTTTAAAATTAAACAAATTGAAATTTAAATTTCAATTAATAATTTTCAAATAATCAAAATTAAATTTAATTGTGAGAAATTTATTTTAATTTTCTCACAGAAACTCCAACATGAAATTATTTCTTTTTGCGATTTTAATTTCAAATTCATATTACAATTACCATTATTATTATAATTATTATTATATTAGGATATTCAAATAATTTTGAATTACATAATAAGAAATATGATGTTTTTTAATAAACATATTTTATGTAAATATGTTGTTGTATTGTATTTTGTAATAACTTTCAAAAGTTTCACTTAAAATGGTAAAAAATGGTAAAAAATTTTGCAATTAAAATTATTGTCATTTTTTGTCTTGTTTCTTCATTCGTTTTTTTTTTCAATTTTATTTTTCAAATCTTTCTAAAAAGATGAAAAATTTTTAAAACATGTTAAAATTTGTACAAAACAAATAAAATTTAAATTAACCTTTAAACTATTATACATTTATAATATTTAAAAAAAAAATAATAGTTTTCTCTAAAATTAAAAATATTAAATAAAATAATAAATATACACTCAACAAAAAAATTGAATGAAAAATAATGTAAAAAAAAAAGTTTTTAAATGTAAAATTGTTTTAATATTTAAATAACAAAGTTATTGAAAAAAAAAATGAAAAAAAAATAAAATAAAAATACAACAAAAACAACAAAATGTGAAAATATTTCTGTAGTTTTTAAGCATTATTAATTTAAAAAAAAAAATAATATTAAAAATAATATTGAAATTAGAAACTCAAAAACTAGTTTTAAAAATAAGATAAATAAAAAAAAAAATTTAAAATTTAATTATAATTTTCCATAATTAAATTACAAAAAAAAAAAAACTTAATATTAATTGGAAAAAAAAAATAAAACAACAAAAAACCTAAAATTTAAATTGTAAAAACAAAAAATTAAGAATATTTTTTAAATATAAGAGAAAAATAATCATTAAGAAAAACTTGTAAATATTTTCAAGAGAAAAAAACTGAATGCAAAGTGAGAATAAGAAAAATTATATATAAAAACACAAAAAAAAATTACAAAAAAAAAAATTAAGAGAGATGTGTAAAAAAAATCAAACAAACAAATAATTTAGAATTTTAAGAGAAAAATCAATCTTTAAAAGAGAAATTCTGTATGCATGTTGATATAATTTAAAAACCAAGAAGAGAAAAAGAGAACAAAAAACAAAAAAAAAATTTAAATATTTTTAATTAAACAGAAAAAAATTGAAAAAAAAAAAAACAAAGCAAAAAGATGATATAAAAAATTTCTAAAAAAAAAAAAAAATTTTCAAAGAATAAAAAGTATGTTGAATGCTGAAAGTTGAAAGAGAGAGAAATAAATTAAATGAAATAAAAAACAACAATTTTATTAATTTATTTTTAATAATTTCTACTTTTATTTTACAATTAATCACAAAAAAAAAAAACAGAAAAAATTGAAAAAATTAATTTTTTTATTTTTGAAAATTTTATTCTCAAAATTTGTTCAAAATTTTTTCAAAAAAAACCTAAAATTGTTTTTTGTTTTTTTTTTTTTTTTTTTAATATTATTATATATTAGCGATCTCTTATTTCCTGTTTTATTTATAAAAACAAAAAGAACAAGTATAACACAAAAAAAAAAATTTTATGTTTAAAGAAAGAAAATTTTAGAAGAAAAAAAAATTTTTTTTTTTTTTCAAAATATTTAACGATTATATAATATACATACATACATAATGAATTAAAATATTATTATAATCATGAAATTAAGCAAGAAGAAGAAAAAAAAAAACAACTAATTAATTAATAAAATTTAAATATAATTTGTAAATTATAATTATTATTATTAAATGTTATCTAAATTTTTAAATATTATGTTTTTTTTTTTTTTTTTAATTTTAATTTTTAATTTTTTTAATGTTTAATTAATAATTAAACAAAATAAAACAAAAAAAAAAAAAAATTTATTATAAAATTATATAAAAATTACTTGCAAGCTCATTAAATTATTTTTAAATAAAAACATTTAATAAAAATATCTTTAAAAATGAAAACAAGAATTTCTTTTTTTTTTCCAATTCTTTTTTTTTTTTTTTTGTATATTTTTTTTTCTCATAGAACAAGCTCAACTGAAAAAATACATGGGATGTTCAATTACAAATCTTTAAGTTCAAATATTTTCTCCAATCTCTTTTTACCGTTGTAATACGGTAAAATTTTTTTAATATAACAGTTTTAAATATATTCCTACAATAAGTATATTTTGAGTATTGAGATCTCAATACTCCTTAAGAAAGGAGTATTGAGAGTTGTTTTTGGGTTTGCAAGTAATTTTCTCGAGTGAATGAGGAAAAAAAACTATTGCAAATTTAATATTCATTGGTTTTAAAGAGATTCAATTGTATTAATTGTGAGAATAAAGGATGTTAAGGGAAAAAATATTGGATATTATACTCAATGAACTTATTTAGACTTTGCGGTTTTGTTATCTGTATAACAATTGAGAATTTATGACAAAAAAATTACATATTTTAATCAATAAAATCTTTAATATTTTTAAAATGTATATTAAATATGCATTCAATTATCTTTTTGTATAAGTTCTTACAATTAAAAAGATTTGAACTTGAGATTTTTCCTTATGATTACATAATAATGCACACATGCAAAATGTAAGAACAATATTTAAGGCATGTAATACAAATTCCCGCCAATTTGAATGCAAATATTATAAATGATATGAATGATTCTATAATAATTCTACAATATTTTCAGAATTTTTTAAAAATTTGAATTTAAATGAGAATTTTCAGGAATAAAACTAAATAATTTTAAAATTAAACTCAGAAATCAAGAATTTAATTAAAAAATAATTTTATAATTAATTTTTTTTTTCTATTTATATTTTATTATATTTCCTATTATATAATAGGAAAATGGATTCGTTTATTATAAATTATAATAATTTCATTTTTTTGAATTAAATAAATTTAAATAAATTCAAAATTCGAATTTCGATTTTTTTTTTAAAAATAATAATAATTATATTTAACAATAATTTATTTACATACATTTTATTCATTATTATATATATATATATATATATTAAATTTAATTATTTAATTTTATTTAATTTAAAACTTTTGACATTTATTTGCAATTTTTTTTTTTTGAATTTTAATGTTTACTGTTGATCGCATTAATATATAGTAAGAGCTTTCGGCATTATTAAATTGTATTGATGAAATTTTTATAAGAATAAATGGGTCAATAATATTTTGAAAAACATAATAGCATTGCCATATATTCTTAATAATTATCACCTAAAAAATATGTAAACTATGAATTTTTTAAAATCTGTAATTTATTTTTTTATTTTCATTTATACAAACAATTAATAACAATTGTATGGAAAATGGGCAAAAACAAAAATAATTAAAAATTACAATTAGAGAAATTACAATTGCAAAGTTTACGTAAAAAAAAAAAGAGAAAAATTTACAAACACTTTTATTGATGATTGAGAAAAATGTAAACAAAAAAAAAGAAAATGAGTAAAAAAAAACAATTCAAATAAATTATTGTTGTTTTATTTTTAAAACATTAACTGTGTATAAATTTAATTAAAACAAAACAATTTTAAAATATATATATATATTATATATACATTATGTATATATATTAAAATTAAAAAAAAATATATGTACATATTATGTATAACAAAAAAAAAAAAATTAATGAATTAATTAAAAAAAAAAATTTAATTGCAAAGTCAAAATATTTGATTAATTTTGAAAAATATTTAAACAGTTTAAAAAAACAAAAATTAAACACCTTTTTTTTGTTTTTTAATATATTGCAAAAAAAAGGAAAATTCTTTTTATTTTCTTTATTTAAAAATAATCATAAAAATAACAAAAAATATAAAATTGGTTATCAAAAATTAAAAACAGAAAAATTCAATTTTACAAAACACAAGAGAAAATGATAACAACTTTTTAAGTTGCTAACATTTTTTGTTTGCTATACCAAAAGCTGTAAGTAAAATAATTTTCATCCAAATTGTGTACAAAAAAAAACAAAAACAAAAAAAAACCAAGAAATCAAATAATTTTTAAAATAACAATACAATAATAAATTACAATTTACATACATACATACATAAATTGATTTAAATTTGATTAACCGCATCTTATCATACAAAATGTTTGATTATATTTTTCAATTTATTCCAAACATTTTTAACAATTCTATAACATTTATACAAAAAAAACAAATAAATTAATTTGCATTATTAATAACTATATAATTATTATTATTTGAATTGAAAAACTTCTTTGTAAAATAAAACGAAAAAAAAAAACTAAAAAAAAAAAACAAAAAAAAAAACAAATTTGAATGTTATTAATTATGTGTGTAAATTATGTCCGTATTAAAAAAAAAAAAACAATAATATTATTAATAAAAAAAAAACAATTGGTAATTAAAAACCACAACAAAACTTAATTGATAAACCATGGAAATAGAAGATGAAGAATGCAATTAGAAATTTTTAATAAAATGATTATTGTTGTGAGACCATGTTTGAAAGTGTAAAGATTTATTTTACTCTCACATATAACGTTTTTCTCTGTGAATTTGTTTAAATCGGGTACTGATCAAATTTATAATCATAAAATGTTTGATCGCAACAAAATGTTGTGTTTCAGTTAAATACCGGTGTTTATACAATAACACAAAAATTACTACCTATTAGTTCGAAAAAAAAAAGTATTAATAAATAAATAAATTCTGAATTATTTCAAGAATATTCTAAATTAAAAAAAAAAATCCTTAATGCTATTAAAATTCGAATATTTTTTTAATAAAAATTTTAATAATATTAATAAATTCGAAAATTGCAGCAAACTAAATTAGAGTGAAAAATAAACGTTTGTTTCAAATGAATCATACATATAAATGTTTGGTATATGTTATTATATCAGTCATACTTCTACAATCTAACCAAAAATAATGAATCATACATTTTCAGTATCATGCAGTCTTATCAAACAATTATCATTTTACTGAAATTAATTTAAAAAAATATTATGAATGTGGAAAATGAAATGAAATTTTTGTGATTTTTTAAAAATCAT